GCTGACAGTTGAACTTTCAAGGAAGGCTGCTCTCATATGCATTTGTGATCAGGCTTTTTACTTGCTTTGCAACTACAGAAAACTTGCATAATACAGGTGCACCTGCTTATGTCCAATTAAGGCTTTGTTTGGGATTGTTTTCTTACTGCTTCTTAAAACAGTTTTTAAAAAATAGTAAGAAAGCTGTCCCAAACGAAGCCTAAATGAAGTACTATTTGGCATTCTGACCGGCTTAGAAATGGTTAAATAGTGATTTTAGTTTTTGAATTCAGCTCTATTTACTCCTAAAGCTATTTGAACTGATGGTTTTTTGGCAAATCTAATGACAAATAAAAGAAGTTAACAATCAGTAGAGGAAAATGCACCACATTGACTCACTGTATCCACAAACAAATGCAATAAACAGATGAATTTTTTCTTTTTTTTTTATTTTCATATCGAAAGGTAATAGTAATTCATTAAATTTTATAATTTGAATATATTTGATTGATTTGATATGATTTATTAAAGGATGGTTTGTTTTTTGGTTTAGAAATAAGGGTTATTTGAATTATGATTCTAATTTCAAAACAACCAAAATTGGTTCAACCGAAAAAATATTTTTTTTAAAAATAAAAAATCAATTGTTTTAAATACTTTGTATTTAAATAATTTTCTCATTTTAATTTTTGTTTATATTCTTCAGGATATCTTCATTCATTAGAATTTAAAATTTTGGTTAAATCAAAACCAAACCAAATGAATTGTATTATGATTTGGTTTGTTTCTAATTTTTGTATGATTTGATCGATTTGATTCTACCTATGATTTAATTCAATTGATTTGTTTTAATAAATTTGTTAATCAATCCATATGAACAAATTAAATGTCCACCCCTTAGTGGGATTGATTATTCTGTGCCGACGTCAAACGCTGTCCGGAGATCAATCAAAATGTGTCATGTTACCCTTTCGCTCGGTACTGCAGCTCGATACCGCTGACGTGGTTTTACTTGATTCTCCTCCGGATGTAGAGTTGTGTTCAGCCTCTACACAGAATAATTTCTCCCTGGATGGACAAGTTAGATGGAAAACATCACAAAACTGAGGGCAATTAGTGCATTTGTTTTTGTTTTAAAGGAAATTCCTCCAACTTCTTATTACGAATAATAAAACATATCTTCAGAGAAATTTAAATCTAAGCCATCCTGCCATAGTATAAATGTTTTTATTCCAAAAATTCAACAGATAGTCTTAAAATTATATAACATTCTTCCATCCTGTTGTAAAAGATTTCATTGTTCTTGCCAGGCCATCTCTTTATTAGCCGCATTAAAGAAATTGTCGGAAAATTTAGATTTACTTGGATGAATTTATCTTCATTCATCATCTGTGGAGGTCAATGTTGTTCATTTGCTTATGATTTTCACACCCTAAAATCTAAAACTAAAATGCCTGTAAACATCAGAGTGCATGTGAGAAACTTATTAGAATCATCTTTGAACCACATTCTTGATTAAGCCATGATAAAAAATAATTAAAAATTTTAACATATATCCAAACAATATTCTAACAATGACATACCATCATAGAACAATCTTCAAACAATTATCGAACCATCTTCGATCATAATTCAACTAATCTTCAAATTGCATTTAATCTATGATCAAATGTTGAATGAATCATGATCGAAGATGTTTAAAGATGATCCTAACACAATTAGGATTTCATGATTCTATTGTCCTAGGTTTTTACAATATTCATAGTCTACTTAATCGAGAAGGTAGTCAACCTAGCTAAACCAAAGTTACTTCATCTAATGAAGCTTCATAGATTTGAGCCAAAGAAGAAACATAGATCCCAAAGCTCTATCCATTCAAAAGGATGGATGTAGGGCTAAATCTTCTATAATATATCAAAGAAGAAGCCTACTAAGAAAAAAAACATGGATAATTTGACCATAAAAATCAAATTATCAATATTGGCCTTATAATCTAGTTTAATTAGATTATTATTTCCTTTAAACTACTCAAGAATAATAAGTTACCACTTCAGTGAGTTTAGAAATCATAACATTAGTCTATTTCAATGTGATAACGAAACCCTATTGGACATTTAATGCAATAATATGCTAAATTATTAGTGGGGTTGTTGTGTGTTGTGATGATGGTGATGTTGTTGATCATGTCTTGGTGGCTTCCCTTAAGGGTGAGATTGAGACTATTAGTCCTGACATTATTGGTTTTGTAGCTGGTAATGAGTTGCTGATGTGGGAGATAAATAACTTTGTGATGTTAATATGGGGGTGGCGAACATTGATTCTAGTTAGTTGGATCCTTCTGTTGCTTCTCCTGTGACGCCTACTGATATGGTTGTGTCTGTCTCTTCTATGGGACTTGGTGTGAATGAACAGCTTGTTGATGTTTCATTTGCTTTACTTTCTTCTAACGCCTTAAATGCTCATGTGGGCATGAGATAGGGGGAAACTATTGTGGAGCAAATTAATTGGCTTGAAGGCTCTCTATCTTCCTGAAGTTGGTGAGAAGGAAGTGTTTAATCATGATGATTTATTTGATCTGAATGCAAGTTATGTTATACGTGATACTTTTATTCGGATGGGTAAACAGAGAAAGAGGAAATCCGAAAAATAGATGTATTTTGTGGTTGGCTTGGTAGCTGCTTTGGAGTTGTGGGGTGATGGTTTGGTGTTGTTTATTTTATTGTTGTTGGGGGTTTGATATTTCCTTTTGGTGTTGTCTCTTTTCTTTTGTTTTGTGCAGGTTGTTGTTGTGGTGCAAGTTTTTTTATGCTACGACTTTGATTAGCATTGTAGCTTTGGCTAATGACGATTGATTGTTGGACAGTTTGTGGCTTATTATGGGGGAGAATATTTTTTATAACCTATGACTATGTTATTAGAATCATTTTAACTGGGATAGGCCCATTGTTTTTTTTTTTTTTTTTTGTCTTGGATTTTATATTTAGGTTGATTATGAGGATCTTAGATTTTAGTTCAAATGTTGTATTTTAGTGAGCTTTGGAGTCATTAAGGACTTGTAATTTTTTTCCATATTAACGTGTATGCCTCTTCTGTGGGGTTTTATTAAAAAAAATGTTAAATTATTAAAACATCATCATGATTATGATCAACTAAGTTTTTTTATCGATTTAAGACTCTTACTTTCCGGAAAGGTATAAATAGTCAAAATATTAAATATTTATAAAGTTTTCACATAATTATAAAGGATATAGTGTTTATTTTATTTTAGAAAGTTCATCCAAAGAGACCATGCATTAATTTCTTATCTTAAGATTTATTTTAAGTTTCTTGATTATCATATTCTTATATGAGCCCTTTAGAATTGCAAGTGATGTCAATCTCACAAGAGCATTATTTGACGTTAGTCGAACATTCCTCTAGCTTCATAGCCTTTGCATTCTTCTTTCATGGACTTGAATTGTTAATTTAAATATATAATGATAAACTTAATCTAACGAAGGATATTTTGATGTTCAAAAATCTATTTTGATTATGTTGGATAAGAGAGTTCATTGTTGGTCAAAATTTTGGTAGCGTTCCGGTGTTTGCCCTGCACGAACTTTTATTAGGTCCAGTGTAAGGACGTAGAGGAACGTCCGGTCGGAGGCAAAATCCCGCCAAAAAACTCGGTATTTGCTCGATATTGCTATGTATTATTTGATAATAACGAGGAATACCGCTCTGTGAAGACCAATACCAAGTTATACCGAGCTATACCAAGCAATACCGAGTTGTACCGAGTTTTTTCTAGGAAAAACTCGATAAAACTTTTGTATAACTCGGTATTGCTCGGTATAGCTCGGTATAACTCGGTATTGGGTCTTCACGTGATGGTATTCCTCGTTATTGTTTGGTATTGCTCAGTATTTGCTCGGTATTTCTCATTTTTTGAAGCGATTTGGCCTCCGACCGGACGTTCCCGGTCGGAGGACGTAATAATTGTTGGCCCTGCACAGATAGCATTGTCAGGAGGCAAAAACATTTCATTCTTCCTTGTCAGACATTGGGTTTGGTATAATATTATTCTTCCCGACCGGATTACAGAGACAATGGACGACGCAATCCTTCACATATTTCATTCTTTCCGACTAGATCTAAAATCAATGGAACACGGGGCCTTCATTTTTTATTCTTCTCGATCATATCTAAGATCAATGGAACACGGGACGGGGTCTTCATTTTTTTTTTTTTTGGTTCAGGCGAGAGAAAGAACAATATGCCTGTTGTTCCTTCAGTTTTCTTGCATAGTTCGCCCTCGGTGCTATTAGAAGAACTCTTGGTCTTCAAGAAATCTGTGCTTGAATCTCGTTAAAGGCTTTTTCCTCTTTTTTTTAGATGGACGGAGGGAAGTTAAGGAGGAAATGGGGATGCCAGTTGAGGGAGTCGGGGAAAATGGCTGACCGGGCAAAGCAATCACCACGAGATGTACGATTGGGCATTTATGTGTATATTTATCTGAAAATTAAAGTTTTTAAGCTAAATAGCTTGAATCATATATGTATAGCTAAAAAATTAATTTATTTGTTTAGTTAGTCGAATGAAATTGATTCGGCTCTAATCATTCAAATTTAATTCAATTTAGAATATAATATTTGGACGAGACAATTTATCTCAAGCTTGATATTAATCGAGCTCATAGAAATTAAAATATATGTATATCTTTTCTTTTTTTAGCTCATGAGCTTATTACTATTCTTTATTTTTTTAGTAATAATAATGAATACTGTTTATATATAATTTAATCTAAGCCAGTAACTCGTTTGACGGACGAGTGGCTTTCGCGACATGGACCACTCATTATTTTGAACAGAGTATATGGACCATTAATTTTTTTTAAATTTATTTAATAATTAAAATTTTTATTTATTATTTTTTCTAAAATTAACGTAAACTTTTTTTTCAAATTACATTTTCTTCCATGTTAAAATGCTATAAATTGCTTGCCTCCAATCCTGTCTATAACAAGACTAGTAAAGAAGGAGATGGAGAAGAAGGAAATAGTTGAGGAGGAATATGCGCAAGAGGTTCCAGATCTTCAACCTATGGAGGAAGATGTAATAGAGGAGATTGAGATGATCTTGCAGTATAGATTTAGGAATAAAATGCTTCTTTCTCAGGCATTCACCCAGTCATCTTTTAACAACCCTTTCAAAAAGGCTGGGAAATCTTATGAACGATTGGAGTTCATGGGTGATTCGGTGCTTGGCCTCTTAATGGCTAGAGAGGTATTTTCTTCTTATGAAGATTTGCCTCCGGGACAACTTACGCTTCTAAGGGCTGCTAATGTTGATACTGAGAGGCTAGCTCGAATAGCCATTAAATCTAATTTTCATCGATTTCTACGTCATAATGCTCCTCAGCTTGAATGGCAGGTAATCTTATTCTTATTTTGATTTTTTAGCTATATAAATATTATAACTTTGATTGTTTCTATGAGTTAATTGCATTTTAATAGATTTGAATGTGTTTTTTTGTTATTGAAGTCCTAATGCAAATTTTCTAGTTTAGATATATTTGAAGAATTTTTATTGGTGTAAAGTTTAGGAAAATTGTTCTTGTAAACATATTATGATATGTATTGGTTTCTTATTTTATATGCATATTTAACATAATCTTTTTCTTGATTTTTAGATTAAGGAATTCATGGAGGGCATAAATCAATATCCTATACATTCAAATGGTCTCCTTGATCCACCAAAAGCCCTTGCAAACATCGTTGAATCTGTCATTGGAGCCATTTTCATCGACAGCAATAGTTCTTTAGAGATTGTCTGGAAGGTCAATTCTGTCAGCTTTGCTTCTTGTCCAATTGCTCATTTGATTGTTGATTGAATGTTTATAAATATATTTATTAAATTAGTAATTTTATTTTCACTTCTTTTATTTGAAAATGAACTCATCATATTAAAGAGTTTTTTTAAGATATTTGTAAAATTTAGATACAATATTGATTTTTAATTATGAGGTTGTTTGGTTCAATATTATGTTGCTAACTAGGGGTGTCAATTTCGGGTCACGGGTCGGGTTCGGGTCGGACCCGGAACTGACCCTATTAAATTAGTAATTTTATTTTCACTTCTTTTATTTGAAAATGAACTCATCATATTAAAGAGTTTTTTTAAGATATTTGTAAAATTTAGATACAATATTGATTTTTAATTATGAGGTTGTTTGGTTCAATATTATGTTGCTAACTAGGGGTGTCAATTTCGGGTCACGGGTCGGGTTCGGGTCGGACCCGGAACTGACCCGGGTTCAAACGGGTTGACCCTAACCCGACCCGGTTAGGCAAACGGGTCGAAAATCCGAACCCGAACCCGACCCGGCGGGTTGTCGGGTTGACCCGACACGGAACG